GGTCAGCAGCACCCGCAGCAGCTCCAACGCCCGGGTCCTCAGCACCAGCCTCACCTCCAGCAGCACGAGCAGTACCGCCAGCAGTAACAGCACCTCCAGCAGTACCGCCAGCAGCAGCAGCACCTCCAGCTCCAGGGTCCGCAGTACCAGTAGTAGTGTAAACCCCGGGGACCCCAGCACCAGTAGTCCCACTACGAAGACTGATGTGCCGAGCGTACCACTCCCGGAGCTGTGGGGAAGAGGGCGGCTCCCGCCGCGGCGGGGAAACACGAGCACCAACTCCAGCAGCACCGCGAGCCCGAGACGCACGACGCCGAAGGCTGCAGTACCGCGAGTACCACTCACGCAGCTGCTGCGAAGAGGGAGCTCCTCCAGGCGTCTCACAGTCAGCTGCAGTACCCCCAGACTCAGCAACTCCAGGCTCAGCACCCCCAGACTCAGTAACCCCAGGCTCAGCACCCCCAGACTTGGCAACCCCAGGCTCAGCACCCCCAGACTCGGCAACCCCAGGCTCAGCACCCCCAGACTCAGCACCCCCACGCTCAGTACCCCCAGACTCAGCACCCCCAGGCTCCGCACGCTCAGGCTCAGCACCCCTAGCCGGACGCGAGTCGACAGCTACCTCGGCAGGCTCAACCGGGTCTACCTGGGAGACACCTGAGGGAGCGGCACCCTGAGGGGGGAGGGGGTCTACCACTGCAGCACCTGGCGCGAGGAAGAGAGGCGGGGGAGGGAGCGGGGCATTGCGGTAGGGGAAGAGGCGGTAGAAGGGCACGGACTCGTCAAAAGTGACGTCCTGAGAGGGGAAGATGCGGTGCGAGGCGGGGTGGTAAAACTGCCAGCCAGACGCATCCGGGACAAAGCCAAGAAAGACACACGGAGCAGTGCGGGAGGAGAGCTTGTCCACAGACGTGTCGCGAACAAAAGCTCGGGATCCCCAGACACGGAAGCGTGACGCATCGCCAACCTCCCCCGTCCACAGCAGTGTGGGCGAGGTCTCCGGAGCGGAGACACGGGGCCAGAGGTTGAGCTGATGCGCAGCGTACCGGACCGCAAACGGCCACAGAAAGTGGGGGGCAGCCGCGTGGACTAAGGAGGTACGAGCGACCTCCATGACCAAGCCAATGCGGCGCTCAGCAACCCCATTCTGCTCTGGAGAGGCCGGAAGCGTGAACGACTGGCGAATGTCGTGCTCGGCACAGTAGGCTGCCAAGAGGTCGGAGGAGAACTCACCACCTCGGTCAGAATGCAAGCGCAGGACAGGAAACTCCGAGCGAAAACGCTCTCGCAACTGAAGACGTGCTCTGCTGATCCAAGGGATCAGAACATCAGGGACTTCACCCTTGGTGCGCAAGGGGAAGACCGTGGTGTAGCGCGAGTAGTCGTCAACGACGATCAAGAAGTACCTCTCCTGACCCTGACCACGGACGCGGGCTGGGCCCCACACGTCCATGTGGAGCGTCTGCAAAGGAGCAGTCGTCGGGGGGAACGAGGAGGAGTGAGGGGCAGCGCGCTGCCGCCCCTCGACACAGGGAAGACAAGGAGGAGCAAGGGAGGGTGGGAGGGGAGGGAGTACCCGAGGAAGACGAGAGACAAGGTACCGGGCGTGCATGCCCCGAAGGCGCTGCACTGACGGGTGACCAAGTCGATGGTGCCAGAGGACTGTCTTGTGCGCCAGAGAGCGACACGAGCAGGGGGCTGACAGCTGACCTGACGCAGACGCAGACGCCGCTACCTGAGGGGACTCAGTGGTCAGTGTGTACAGGTCCGACCTCGGCTGCCGAGTGAAGGTAGCCAGGTGACGGCCCGTCCGAGCACACGAGCAGTGTGTCACGCGCTCATAGGCAGGGGTGAACTGGTGAACACCCCCATCCTGAAGCGCACAACCCGCCACCAAGTTCGTAGAGAACGAGGGGAGGTGGAGACCTGACAGTGTGCCCGACGGGACAGCAGGACAAGGAAGGACAGTGGAGGAGGTCGCAATGACCGAACCCTCAGAGGGGTCAGCGAGCGAGACAGCGACTGGTCGAGCAAGGGGCTCAAGAGCAGTGCGGTCACGAAAGAAACAGCGCGAAGCGCCTGAGTCTAGAGTGAAGGTGTGCAGTGCCTCAGTGGACTCAGTAGTACCTGGGGTGGCGGACACACAAGCACCTAGAGTAGTAGCCTCACCAGCACCTGAGGCAGCTGACACGCAAGCACCTAGGGCGGCAGCCTCACTCGTGCGGATGCCTGGGTCAGGCGGAACACACAGGTACTGGTCCTCCTCTCCACTAATAGTCAATGCATACATGGCTTTGAGAATAACATCAAAATCAAGAGCATAGATATCGATATCCTTCTTGAGGAGATCAGCCCACAGAGGGAGCTCAGGAGCGTCAGGAAACTGAGCACGCCAAGCGTCATCTAGGCGAGAGAAGCAGCGCTGCGCAGTGTGCGCCCTCCCGCACGTCTGTCCCTTGCGGCGACCAGTGCGGATGACGTACGTGCAGCTAAGGCTACCCCCCCCACCCCCGTGCTGTAAGTACCACTCACGAAGCTCCTGGGAGGACTGAGGGTGCTGCATGCTCTGGCCAGTGCCAGAGCCTCCACGACCACCACCGCCGCCGCCACCACGACCACCACCGCCCCTGCCGCCGCCACGTCCACCGCCGCCCCCACCACCGCCCCCACCCCGGCCACCGCCGCCGCCGCTGCCTCCACCACCCCCACCGCTGCCACTAGCCCCTCCAGCCCCGCCACCGCCTCCACCGCCGCCACTAACCCCACCACCGCCTCCCCCGCCGTCACCCCCGCCGCCCTTGCCTCCCCTGCCCTTGCCGCTGCGGCGCCCGCTGGGAGCGGACGCGGACCCGACCTGCTCAGCACCAAGGAGGTCGACAGCAGCAGCAGAGGCGACAGAGGGGAGCAGGGGGGAAGGGGAACACCCCTCGAAGAACGGGGTGCGGGGGTCGCCACGAGAGGCACCTACAGCTACAATACTCTTCTCAGCTGCAAGTAATTCCTTCTCTAGGGCGGCAATGGTGAGCTCAGTGGGGCAGCGAGCTAGGAAGTGGTCCCTGACTGTACGCAGAGAGTCAAGGAGGCGGGTGACTAGGTGGTAGAGAGTGAGCCAGAGCGGCGGAGGGTTGGAGGCAAGAAACTCAGCGGGCATGGCTGCACGGAAGCGGGCATCACTAGTGCGGAGGTGAGTGATGAGGTCAGCTACTGTCTGGAAGGCGGACAGGTCCGGGAACAGGTAGGGAAGCGAGAGGCGGCCTAGTGCAGCTGAGGCCGGGGAGGAGTAGCGCGCAACTACAGCAGTGTACAGGGCCTGCGCAGTCTGATGCTGGCCAAAGTGCTCGCGCTCGTCGACTGGCAGGGAGTTGCGAATAGCAAAGCGGGCGTGGGCATCGCGAGTCTGCCACTGTGAGCGAGCAGTAGCAGCAGCAGTAGTAGCAGGAGTAGGGACTGTGCCTAGTGCGTGATCGTACAGCGAGATATCCTCTCTGGCAGTGAGCTGGAGGAACAGGTGCAGATCATCGAGCCATGTCTCAAACTTAATCGGGCGGCCCTCAGCATCGAACGAGAGAACTGGAGGGCTAGCCATAGTTGAAGTAGCAGTAGCAGAAGTAGCAGTAGCAGTAGTAGTAGCAGTAGCTGTTGCTCAGGTAAGGACGGCGCGGCTCGGCTAGGACGGTGCGGCTCGGCTAGGGCGGCACGGTTCGGCTAGGGCGGCGCGGCTCGGCTAGGGCGGCGCGGCTCGGCTGGGTCGCGCGGTTCAGCTGGGGTCGCGCTGCGCGGCTCGGCCGTAGAAGGGGGGGCCTTGAGAGGCGAGCGCGGGGGGGGGGGGCTTGAGAGGCAAGCGCGGGGGCCGTCCGTGGGCCGTTCGGGGCTAGCGCGGGGCCATTCGGGGGCCGTGAGAGGCTAGCGCGGGGTCGATCCAGGGCCGTAGGGGGCTAGCGCGGGGCCTTAAGGGGCCGTGAGAGGCTAGCGCGGGGGCCGCACGGGGCCGTTCGGGGCTAGCGCGGGGCCAATCGGGGCCGTAGGAGGCTAGCGCGGGGCCGTAGGTGGGCCGTGTGAGGCTAGCGCGGGGCCGCACGGGGCCTTTCGGGGCTAGCGCGAGGCCGTAGGGGGCCGTGAGAGGCTAGCGCGGGGCCGACGCGGGGCCTTAAGGGGCTAGCGCGGGGTCGTAAGACGGGGCCGTGAGAGGCCTTAAGGGGCAACGCGAGGGGCCGTGAGGGGCCTGAAGGGGCGACGCGAGGAACGAGGCGCACGAGGGCGCTAGGAAAAGGCGGTGCACGAGGGCGCGGCTAGCGGAAACGGTGGGCCCTAACGTTTCGGTCCTAGGTGGAACCTAGGCTCGTAATACCATGTCAGAATGAGAAACGAGAATGATGTGACTAACAGGAACAAGAGTACAAATATGAAACCCTAATCTGGTGTACCCCCTAAGGTGTAACCCACTACAGCCTAGAACCACATAAACATATAATGTTTGACACCGTCGCCGCCCTTCCACGGCCCCGTCGCCGCCCTTCCGCGGCCACGTCGCCGCCCTTTCAGCGGCCCCGTCGCCGCTCGCCCTTTCAGCGGCCCCGTCGCCGCTCGCCCTTTCAGCGACCCGGTCGCCGCCCTTCCGCGGCTCCGTCGCCGCCCTTCAGCGGCCCCGTCGCCGCCCTTCTGTGGCCCCGTCGCCGCTCAGCCGCCCAGCGCTCAAGCAGCCGAGCCGCCTGTCTGCCGAGCAACCGAGCCGCCCAGCAGCCGAGCCGCCCAGCAGTCGGGCCGCCGAGCAGCCGAGCCGCCCTACAGCCGTGCCGCCCAGTAGCCGAGCCGCCCTACAGCCGAGCCGCCCAACCGTCGAGCCGCCCAGCAGCCGAGCCACCGAGCCGCCGAGCCGCACCGCAGCCAAGGCGCTGCCGCCTGTCGGCCTACCCAGGACCGCCCCACTTGCCTGGTAAGAACAGCGCCTCTGCCACTGCACTACCCTGCCCCACTGTACTCACCACCTGTCTACTGCTGTCATGGCCTCCCCTAGTGTTCTCACCTTTGACGTTGAGGGTCGGGCAGCTGACTTTGAGGTCTGGGTAGATGATCTGCAACTTTTCCTACAGTGCGATAGGGCAGACGGTCTCTCCCTGTTTGACCTCACTTCTGGTGCCTCCCCTGCCCCTGCTGCTGATGCTGACGCCACTGTTCGCTCACAGTGGGCCACGCGCGATGCTGCTGATCGCCTTGCTGTCCCAGCCACTTACCGACCACTGAGCGTGCACACTTTAGCCAGTACAAGAGTGCTCAGACCTTGTACGACGCTGTAGTTGCACGCTACTCTTCCCCTGCCACTGCTGCACTGAGCCGCCTCATGCTACCGTACCTCTTCCCTGACCTTGCTGCCTTTCCCACAGTCGCTGACCTCATTACGCACCTCCGCACTAGTGACACTCGCTACCGCGCTGCGCTTCCTGCTGAGTTCTGCGCCAATAACTCCCCCCCCACCATGTACATCACCCTCTACTACATAGTCAGCCGGCTCCCTGACTCTCTCCGCGTAGTCAGGGACCACTTCCTCTCAGTTTGGCCCACCACTCTCACTGTTGACCTCCTCGAGAAGGCCCTCCTAGCAGCAGAGAAGAGTATAGTCACTGTAGGAGCCTCTCGTGGTGACCCTCGCACCCCCATCTTTGAGTGGTGTTCTCCCTCCCCCCCTCTTGCCCTCTGTTGCCTCTGCTGCTGCGGCCGACCTCGTTGGTTTCGAGTCGGTCGGCGCTGCGTCTGCCCCGAGCGGGAGATGCCGCACCGGCAAGGGCAAGGGGGGAAAGGGCGCTAAAGGGGCTGGCGGGGGCGGTGGTGGTGGTGGTGGAGGCAGTGGAGGGAGTGGGGGTGGTGGTGGGAGTGGTGCCTAAGGTGGCGGCGGCGGCGGCAGCAGTGGAGGCAACGGAGGCGGCGGTGGTGGCGGAAGGAGCGGAGGCAGCGGAGGTGGCAGACGAGGCGGAGGTGGAGGAGGTGGCGGAGGCGGCGGCGACGGCGGCGGCGGTGGTGGAGCGGGTCGAGTGGCTCAGGTGGTGGTCCGCGCCAGCAGCAGCGGAGTGGTGTGACCCTATCCCCTCAGCAGCTTCGTGAGTGGTACACTGCGCGTCAGCGCGGTGGGGGCTTTGGTCCTTGCACTTACGTCCTCCGTACCGGCGACCGAGCTGGTTAGCAGTGCGGGGGCCCGCACTCCACCCAGCGCAGCTTCGATCGCCTGACGGACGCGTGGCGTTGCCAATTCCCTGAGGCGTCAGAGATCCCTCGCTGGGGAGATCTGTCTAGGGCGGGAGTTGCCATCTTTGATCTTGACTATGATGCTATCCTTGCTGCCATGTATCCTTGCTAGTGTTGAGGGTGACTGTTACCTGTGTGTACCACCTGACCCGGGCATTGAGGCCACTGCTCTAGGTGCTGGTAAGGCTGCTGCTCTAGGTGCTAGTGCGTCTGCTGCCCCAGGTGCCAGTGCGTCTGCTGGCCCAGGTGCCAGTGCGCCTGCTGCCCCAGGTGCTGGTGAGTCTGCTCTCTCAGGTACTACGTCGGCTCAGGCCTTCCACACCTTCACCGTTGACTCGGGTGCGTCCCGCTCCTTCTTTCGAGACCGCACCACTCTTACGCCGCTTAGTCGGCCGGTTGCAGTCTCCCTGGCGGACCCCTCTGGGGGTCCTCTCCTTGCTAGCTTCTCCACTGCCTTACCGTGCCCGGCAGCCCCCTCTGGCACCCTGTCAGGTCTCTACCTCCCCTCTTTCTCTACAAACTTGGTGAGTGGAGCGGACCTACAGGATAGGGGGGTTGACCAGTTCACTCTTGCGAGTCAGCGAGTGACCCACTGCACGTGTGCTCGGACAGGCCGATACTTGGCCACGTTCACCCGTCGGCCAGGGTCGAGCCTGTACACCCTTACTACTGACTCTCCTCCAGCTGCTGAGTCTGGCCAGGTAGCTGCGTCGAGTCAGGTGTTTGCTGCAGTGTCCAGGTCTGGTCCTGAGTCTGCTCCCTTCTCGTGTCATCTACTGTCCCACCAGACTCTCCTCTGGCACCACCGCCTTGGTCACCCGTCCCTGCCTCGTCTCCGAGGCATGGCCTCCCGTGTCCTTGTCCCTGGTCTCCCTCAGTCTCTCCCTCCCCTACCTCTGGGGCCTGGCCCTACCTACGTCCCCTGCGTCGAGGGGCGACAGCGCGCTGTCAGATTTATATGACATAGTTATTGTAGGCTATAGTGGGGTAGCCCATATGGGGTACAACTTTCTAGGGGTTTATATTTGTACCCAACTTTCACTTAGTCATTCATTCCTCATTCTAGTTTTCTCATGGTATCGAGCAGGTTCCCTCGTGGGAAGTGTTCCTAGGGCCCACCAATTCGATTTTTTTTTTCCTGCCCGTAGCGCGCTCAGCCCCTGCCCGAGTCGCGCTCCCGTCTCTCGACCCTATCGCGCCGCCTTAGCAGCCTCGTCGCGTCGCACTCGCGGCCACATCCCGTCGCCTACTCCTGCGGCCCCGGCGCTGCCCTTCCCTGCCCCGACGCCGCCCTTCCTGACCCGGCCCCGCCTCTTCTGGCCCCGTTGCCTACCCCTGCGGCCCGGACGCCGCCCTTCCCGGCCCCGATCAGCCGCCATGCGGCCCCGTCGCCTACCCCTGCGGCCCCATCCCGTCGCCTACTCCTGCGGCCCCGGCGCCGCCCTTCCCGGCCTCGACGGCGCCCTTCCTGACCCGGCCTTAACTCTGCTGGCCCCGTCGCCTACCCTGCGGCCCCGGCGCTGCCCTTTTCCGGCCCCAACGCCGCCCTTCTTGCCTCTGCTGGCCCCATCGCTTACCCCTGCGGCCTCGAGCCGCCCTTCTCGGCCCCGGCGCTGCCCTTCCCGGCCCCGGCCCCGCATTCACGCGGCTCCGCCGTCACCACCGAGCTGCCAGCGCCACCCGGGCCGCCCGAGCCGCCGCACCACCTGAGTCGCCCGAGCCGTTGGAGCGCCGCACGCCGAGCTGCAATTGCCACCGAGCCGCTGTACCGCCAAGCCGCCGAGTCGCCGAGCCGCAATTGCCGCCGAGCCGCCCGAGTCGCCGAGCCGCCGAGCCACCTGAGCCGCCCTGTCTGGTAAGAGCAGCGCCTCTACCACTGCACTGCCCTTACCCCATTGTTCGCGCTAATAGTCTAGTGCTGTCATGGCTACCCTTAGTGTCCTCGCTTTTGACGCTGAGGGTCGGGCCATTGACTTTGACGTCTGGGTAGATGACCTGCAGCTTTTCTTACAGTGCGATAGGGCGAACGGTCTCTCCCTCTTTGACCTCACCTCTGGTGCCTCTCCTGCCCCTGCTGCTGATGCTAATGCCACTGTTTTCTCCCAGTGGGCCACGCACGATGCTGCTCCACGTCTTGCTATGCGTCGCCACCTGCCTACCTCTGAGCGTGCGCACTTTAGTCAGTACAAGAGTGCTCAGACCTTGTACGACGCTGTAGTTGCACGCTACTCCTCCCCTGCCACTGCTGCACTGAGCCGCCTCATGCAACCGTACCTCTTCCCTGACCTTGCTGCCTTTCCTACAATCGCTGACCTCATTACGCACCTCCGCACTAGTGACTCTCGCTACCGCGCTGCGCTTCCTGCTGAGTTCTGCGCCAAGAACCCCCCCCCCCCCATGTACATCACCCTCTACTACATAGTCACCCGGCTCCCTGACTCTCTTCGCGTAGTCCAGGACCACTTCCTCTCAGTTTGCCCCAGCACTCTCACCGTTGACCTCCTCGAGAAGGCCCTCCTAGCAGCAGAGAAGAGCATAGTCCCTGTAGGAGCCTCCCGTGGTGACCCTCGCACCCCCATCTTTGAGGGGTGTTCCCCCTCCCCCCTTTTGCCCTCTGTTGCCTCTGCTGCTGCGGCCGACCTCGTTGGGCTTGAGTCGGTCGGTGTGGCGTCTACCCCTAGCGGGAGACGCCGCCCTGGCAAGGGCAAGGGGGCAAGGGGCGCTAGAGGGGCTAGCGGGGCGGGTGGAGGCGGAGGTGGAGGTAGCGGAGGGAGTGGGGGTGGCAGTGGGAGTGGTGGCGGGGGTGGAGGTGTCGGTGGCGGCAGTGGAGGCGGAGGGAGTGGGGGTGGCGGTGGGAGTGGTGGCGGGGGTGGAGGTGTCGGTGGCGGCAGTGGAGGCGGAGGCAGCGGCGGCGGTGGTGGTGGGAGCGGAGGTGGCGGAGGTGGCGGCGGTGGAGGAGGCGTTGGCGGAGGAGGTGGAGCTGGTCGGGGTGGCACTTCTGAGAGGGTGGACTCCGGTGGTGGTCCGCGCCAGCTGCAGCAGCAGCAGCAGCAGCGCACTCGTGATATCCCCCCACCTCAACAGCTCCGTGAGTGGTACGCTGCATGTCAGCGGGGTGGGGGTGCTGGTCCGTGCACCTACGTCCTACGCACCGGCGACCGCGCGGGTGAGCAATGTGGGGGTGCGCACCCCACCCAGCGCTGCTTTGGCCGCCTGACGGACGCTTGGCGTCACCAGTTCCCGGAGGCCACTGAGATCCCCCGCTGGGGTGAGCTGTCTAGGGCGGGAGTAGCTATCTTTGACCTTGACTTTGATGCTATTCTTGCTGCCATGTATGCTGTGACGATTAGTGATGTGGGTGACTGTTACCGGTGTTTTCCGCCCGACCCGGGCATTGAGACTGCTGCTCTAGGTACTGGTGAGGCTGCTGCTCTAGGTGCTCACGAGGCTGCTGCTCTAGGTGCAAGTGCGTCTGCTTCCTCAGGTGCTGGTGAGTCTGCGCTCTTAGGTACTGCGTCGGCTTCGGCCTCCCTCACCTTCACCCTTGACTCAGGGGCTTCTTGCTCCTTCTTTCGAGACCGCACCACACTGACGCCGCTTGGTCGGCCAGTTGCAGTCTCTCTGGTAGACCCCTCTGGGTGTCCTATCCTTGCTCACTTCTCCACTGTCCTTTCGTGTCCGGCGGCTCCCTCTGGCACCCTGTCTGGCCTCTACCTCCCCTCGTTCTCTACGAACTTGGTGAGTGGTGCTGACCTACAGGATGGGGGAGTTCACCAGTTCACTCCTGCGAGCCAGCGGGTGACCCACTGCACGGACGCTCTGACGGGCCGACACTTGGCCACGATTATACGTCGGCCGGGGTCGAGCCTGTACACACTGACCACTGAGTCTCCTCTTGTCACTGCATCTGGTCAGGTAGCTGCGTCGGGTCAGGTGTTTGCTGCAGCGTCCAGGTCTGGTCCTGAGTCTGCCCCGTGCTCGTGTTGCCTCCTGTCTCACGAGACTCTCCTGTGGCACCACCGTCTTGGTCACCCCTCCTTGCTTTGTCTCCAAGGCATGGCCTCCCGTGTCCTTGTCTCTAGTCTTCCCCGGTCCCTCCCTCCCCTTCCTCCGGGGCCTGGCCCTACCTGCGTCCCCTGTGTCGAGGGGCGACAGTGGGCTGCCCCTCCCAATTTCCTCCGACAGAGGGCCCGCTGTAGACGCTTCACATGGACGTGTGGGGCCCGGCCCGCGCCCGTGGACAGGGTCACGAGCGCTACTTCCTGCTGATAGTTGAAGACTACTCGTATTACACCACAGTCTTCCCCTTGCGCAGCAAGGGTGATGTCACTGAGGTGCTGATCAACTGGATCCGCGCAGCTCGTCTCCAGCTCAGGCAGAGTTTCGGCTCGGACTTTCCTGTTCTGCGTCTGCACTCTGACAGAGGCGGAGAGTTCTGCTCTGGCCTTCTACGAGCCTACTGTCGTGCACGAGGCATCCGCCAGACCTTCAAGCTTCCGCACTCACCACAGCAAAATGGGATTGCTGAGCGCCGTATTCGCATGGTCATAGACGTTGCCTGTACGTCCATGATGCATGCGGCTGCCCCCCATTTTCTGTGGCCGTTTGCGGTTCGGTACGCAGCGCATCAGATCAACCTTCACCCCAGGGTCTCCATGCCGGGGACCTCCCCAGCTTTGCTGTGGACGGGGAAGGTTGACGATGCGTCTGCGTTCCGTGTCTGGGGATCTCGGGCGTTTGTCCGCAACTTGTCTGCGGACAAGCTGTCCCCTCGTGCTGCTCCTTGCGTCTTCCTTGGCTTCCCCCCTGACGCGCCAAGGTGGCAGTTCTACCACCCCACCTCTCGACGTGTTCTGTCCTCCCAGGACGTTACGTTTGACGAGTTGGTCCCCTACTACCGCCTCTTCCCCTACCGCACTCCGTCCCTACCCTCGCCACTGCTCTTCCTTGTGCCAGGCCCCCCCCGTAGACCCCCTCCCCCCTCAGGGTCCTGCCCCTTCAGGTGTGTCCCAGGTAGACGCACTCGAGCCTGTCGAGGTTACTGGTGACTCTGGTGCTGCTGGGGGTGCTGAGCCTGGGGGTGCTGACTCTGGGGGTGCTGAGCATGTGGGTGCTACGCCTGGGGGTGCTGAGACTAGGGGTGCTGAGACTGGGGGTGCTGAGACTGGGGGTACTGAGACTGGGGGTGCTGAGCCTGGGGGTACTGAGCCTGGGGGTGCTACGCCTGGGGGTGCTGAGCCTGGGGGTGCTACGTCTGGAGGTGCTGAGCCTGGGGGTGTGGAGATTGGGGGTGCTGAGCCTGGGGGTGCTGAGCCTGGGGGTATTACGCCTGGGGGAGCTGAGCCTGGGGGTGCTACGTCTGGAGGTGTTTAGCCTGGCAGGGCCACGTTTGGAGCTACCGAGCCTGGGGGTGCGGAGCCTGTAGGCGCTGGGCCTGCTCATGTGGCGTTTGGCGATGCTGGGTCTGGAGGTTCTCTAGGTGCTTCGTCTCGGCGGGAGCCACTCTCTCCACAAGAGGTGCGCGAGTGGTTTGCCCGGCGCTGGAGGCGTGCTGCTGGAGCTGGAGTTTCTTCGGCTGCTGAGGGTGCTTGTGCCGCGGGTCCCGCAGGTGCTCGTACTGGGAGTACTGGAGCTGCTGGGCCTGTGGGTCTATTTGGAGCTGGAGCTGCTGAGGGTGTTGGTGCTAAGGCTACTGCTGTCGGTCATGGAGGCGGTCCTACTGGGGGTACTACTAGAACTGCTGGACGTACTGGAGCTGGAGGTTCTATTGGCGCTGGTGCTACTGCTGGGGGAACTGGAACTGTCCCTGCTGTGTCTGGAGTCGCCGCGCGGCCTCGGCCGTACTTCGTTCCGCTACTTCAGCAGGTTCTTGGTCTCCCGCGTTCTACTGGTCCTCCTCCTCATTTAGAGTGTCCGCAGCCTGTCCCGTCCCAGTTACAGTTACCGCCGGCCTCCCCACTGC